GAGCAAAAAAAAATCGTATTTAAGGTTTTTTTTAAGGTGCCTGAATCTAAACTTTGTTTTTCGTTAAAAAATACTTGAACCCAGTGGCTCATTTCTTTTCAATATTGTATATTGTATACTGATACCATAGCTGTATCATATCCAAATATCCTATTAAATATATATTTTTTAAGAATAAACAATGTTAATAGTACTTTTTCGCATCTCGAAAAATCCCTAAAATAAGAATTTTTATTGAAATCGAAAATGTTTATTTAATATTTCGCCTTCTATTAATGGCCATTATGAGATCCATTTTTTGTTTATAGATTTATTATAGATGTTATTAAAAGTGACATATTGAGCAAAATATTTTTATTTTTCGATTGCAATGAAATTTCGCTCTGTTAAACGTTTACAACAACTAATAAACAAAACTACAAATGCAGATGGAATTATTTAAGAGTACCCATTTTATAGAAGATATGTGTACCTCAGGAAGGTTTACAGACCCAAATGTCAATCTATAGCTGAAGTAACAGAATAACTACATGTCGCAGCTTGACTCGAAACCAGAACCCGGAAAAAACAGAATATAGCAGTATATTGCCTTACACACTAGGCTGGTCCATTGCTCAGATGATATTACAGATTATTTAATTGTATATTGATATAACGAGTTTAATCAAAATTATTAGATCAGTTTTCGAGGAAATTATAAAAAAGTGTAAAATCGATTATAGTCACTTCCGTTAAGTCGATTTTAGGGAGAAAGTTACTGTAACATTGAATAAGTATTCATCTTAAATAAGTAAGTTAAGTTTTTAGAACTATTCAGTTTTGAGCTACGCTATTAATTCCACACATCAATAATTAAGGGAGATATGGCGTGTCTACAAAAAGAAAAAAAAGATAAATAATATAAACAAATTATGTTTAGTATTTAAGAGCCCGAAATTTCTGAAAATTAATTTATAATTATATTCTGTTTAATGAGCCAGAAGTATACTTGAAACGAAAAAATCAAAATAAAACATAGACTGAAGTGCCTAACACTACAATCTAAACCTACTTAAATTCATCAAAATGAATGACAAGTTGACTGGCGCAAGTAGCTTAAATTAGTTTGTGTTTCCTTCAACTCCGCTAGTTTATTTTCAATTTTTCCAATTGTTTCTCTTTTATTTTATTATTTTTCTTCTCAAATATATTTTATTTATAATACTAATTTAAAAATATATTATTTATTTCGTGAATTAGAAATTCATGATTTACTATTATACAATAAAATCGGGTGTTTCATCTGACAATATAAATACATTTATTTAATGTAATTTAATATTAACTTTTAATTAAGACGCATAAAATTTACGTAATGTCATTTCCTTTTTAATTAACTTTAACATACTCACTCAGTAAGTTCCAAAAATAACTAAATATTTATAATTTGATAATTTTGTTAAAGACTATTATACAATCATAGTATTAAAAACAATGATTTATTCATGTCTTAATAGAGGCCGTACATGTATAATAAGATATAATAAAAAAATTGAATTAATTCAACCAACAAATTTTATTAGAACATTTTTTTTTTTTTTTATAAATTAAAATGACACATTTACAATTATATTAATAAAAATTACTATAATGACATTGCACTCTTTGTTTTTATAATATACAATATTCTATATTTGTAACCTCCATAATTTTTAATTTGTATACAATTTTCATAATTTAGATCCATATAATTATTTGTGTAGTTTCCTTATTCTAATCCTTAATTTCACTAAACTATATCTTAATACAATTTGTAAAATTATATTATATTAACTAAATGTTATATGATATCCATTGCCAAATTGCAATAGCCCGTAAATACAAGTATAGTTTTGAGTTTCTTTAGTTAATTTTAGCCTCATGCCTGTTCTAGAATACAAACCAAAAACGTCGTTTGAGACATCATATCTTTGTATAAGTCATACAGTGAAAATGATTCCTTAAATTAAAGATTATTTCGCCTTGTGAATAATATTTTATTTTCCACTTACAGACTTTTGCAAAATGGCTGCTGTTATGGTTATTTTATATTAACTATTCTATTTTGACTATGATAATATGTATATATTTGTTTATACAATTTCAATGATTTTTCTCATTAAGCCCACCGAAAATAAAAAGCTCTTATATTTTTAATGGTGATGGACTCCGCACTTAATACGAATGTGTAAGATGAAAATCTTAATCACGTCCAGAACTAGGGGAGAGGAGGAGACAAAATGAGTTCTTGCCCCGGGCGCCAAATTTTATTATTTGATTAAGGCAAACAGTATTTATAATTTGATAAAAATGGATCCATGCTGCGGATTGATTACCTGTTTTTCCTAAAAAATTTTATTTTTCTTATAAAATTAAATCACTTCTAAATAAGTAACGCATATGTTTTTAGTTAATAAACGGTGAGTGAAATTAAATTTTTACCATTTCTTTAGAGGTGTAATCTAAAATAACTATTGGTTTTTGTACACTTCAGCAAAATAATACAAAATAAACTTTATTCTGACAATTGGTTATCTAAGAACAACAGATATGTATAATTGACAGAACATAATACTTGTAAAAAACAATAATAAGATCCTAACAGTGTATACCTTATCAACATCAAAAATATATACCTAAACAACAAATTAATCATCCCGAAAATACAAAAAAAAAATTATACAATAATAAGAAAGTGAAAGTAAAAAAAAACAACAAAAACAATTAAATTTAAAAAAAATTATTACCTTAAAATGTCCTTGGGCAATAAAAGGAAATTAGAAATTTTTGTATATATATTTTTTTATGTATTTATATATTGCATTTTGTATAGTAAATAAATTCCTGGGGGGTTGAAAAAATAAAAATAAAACTATGAATTGATTCCACAATTAAACTTAAATATCAAATTCATTATATCGTCAAATCAACAATTTATTCTTAAATTAAAATTTCAATATTTAAGAGCGCCTTTTTGGTATATAATAATGTAATGAAAATGGAGGAATTTGAATGAACAAAGGGGAGGAGGGTGGCAGATATTAGTTGGTAGGGAATTCCAGAAGGTATTGGAGCGGGCAAAAAAGGAACGTTCGAATGTTCTAGTTCTATGGGAAGGATAAGTTTTGCTTCCAGTTTGAATTGTAGAATACTGTAAGTGTAGGAAGAATGCTGGAAGTTGAAGTTTCGTATAAAAAGTATTCTGGGGAATATTGTCGATGGGAGGAGGGGAACAATCACTTTAACTTGCCAAAGAGGTATGATCGCTTAGATGTACCGAAGTTCATTAATTTTAATGATTCACCACAATCTTCCCTTGAGTACAATCGAGAGTTCACCTTATACAACACAGCCATAGTTAAAGTCAAAGCAATGGAAAATGAAAGAGGATACATTAGTTTGTTTGTGGATATTGGAAGATGACGTAAGCAATGAAATAACTTGATTGAACCTGTTGAACATATCGGGAAATATTGGCGATATGAGGCGTCAAAGATAAATTTTGGTCAATAGTAACACCGAAGTTTTTAACAGAGGACTAAAAGAGGATGATCATTTAGATCTATTGTAGAAAATGCAGCAATGAGTATCGTAGTATCGAAAGTATCGAATGAGAGCCTATAATGATAGCCTGATATTTTATTATTATATGACGTATTACAATTATGACAACATTATAAAACAAATTAATGGTTAAGCTAACTCTTAAGGGAAGAGGTTACGCGTGTTCAAAATTAGGCGTTGCCAGGAACAATCTGTGATAAACTAAAGTTCACGAGTTGAGATCGATGGGAACTTTAAAAACTGGCACAATTCCTCGCCCTCTCCACTGGACTGGAAAAAACTCCTATGGCCTACAAGGCGAGGAAGGTGATAAAAGAAAAAAAAATAGATAACTAAATCAATTAATAAGAATATTACTATATACCTTCAATACATAAATAAATAATATATATTTTTAGAGCCTGACAGAGGGGGAAAAAAAGGGAAACTCCGATTAACAAGAAAGAAAATCTAAAATACTTTAAATCAAATTAAATGCGCATTCATAAAATTCAAATATTCTGGATACGTCTATAGGATTTAGTTAAAAACCTGAATCCTTTGTTAATCCACAAGCCATGAAAACTATCTTTAAAGTAACTGCTTGCAAACTTCATTGGTAGATTTTCAAAAAATATTATTTTAATCCAATGAGACCTAGATACTTTATTATACTTCCATAACAATATTTGATATTCCATGATATAAAAAAAAATTAAAAACATTTGGACTTAAAACAGACACGTAGCCAGGGATTTTACTTTAGTGGAAAAGAGTAAGAATTCTCCAACATACATATTGTAAGACTTAAAATACATGAATATATTCATATATTTATTGATTCTATTTTATCAACATTTAACAATATATATTGTCTAAGGATCTTGAGGTTCAATCATTAACTATACGATATATGACTGGCTTCGTATCAAAAACGGACATCTGTCATTTTCAGAAAACAGAGAAAAAGTCAAGTTTTTTTTTATAGGTTCAGCTCAAACTGTTTTTGACGATTTTATGTAAGAATGTTTAATTTTAATCATGAAAAAAAATTAGAACTGGTTTAAATTTAAGCTATGTTACAGAAAATTGTTTTTATATCAACTTTTTAAAAATTACAGATTTTTGTTTTTGATATTACGCCAATCATATTCATCCCCTTCCTTGAAAAAAAAGATCATAAAAACGGGTAAAAAAAAATCCTCTTTAATAATATCAAACCGTTCCTAAAATCATCGATGGAAACTTTTTGTAGGATTCAGCGCGTTCTTTTATTTAACTATAGGTTCAGCGATGGCTCATCGTTTCCATCGGCTTTTAGCGTCGATGAGTCCGCTGTTTATATGTGGAAAGTTTGCATATTTATATTTAGTTTCAGAAGGTAGATATTTCCTTATTTTTTATTTGTTTGTGATTTGCTTCGTTCCTTTTCAGGAGTGTTAACATTCTACTAGAATCCAAAAAGTCTTCCTAAACCTAAATATATTGATAGCATTATTTTCAAGAGCGTATAAGTTTTAGTTTATTACTAATTTAGTTGTTAAATGAAGTGACTATTAAATTTCAACAATAATAAGTATAAATTACTTTAATTGAATTATAATATTTCGATAGCTAGTATGTATTATAGTCGTAAGTTATTTTCGTGTTTAATAAACACTTTCTAATTTGTTTTTTTGTTTTTTTTACTTTCAATAACCCACATATAATATAGCAAGGGAATACAGTTATGAAAAATATCTTGAGGGAAATACAAGTTTAAAAGTCTCCTGTGTATAAATAACCAAGCAAAGTGATCTGTGTATGTAATGAGTCTAGCTGTGAAATGAACGAAACTTAAATTAGGTACCCTATTGGCGTTATGTTATTTGAACTAAATTACGTATTTATGTTAATTATATGCCTGGAATGTTACAGCAACGTTTTCGTATAAAATTGACTGATCGGAAATGGAAAACTTTTCTTTTTCAAAAATCGTAATAACAATTTTGATTAAAATCCTCTTATTGGTGTAAAATTGATAGTTCATTTTCTCATTTAAATAATCAAGATTCAACCATCCTCACTACCTATGCTGATGACACGTGTGTGTTATCTGTCAATAATGAACCAACTATTGCATCACAAACCCTGCAATCACACATTTCAGTCATTAAAGAATGGTGTGCAAATTCGAGAATTAAAATTAATCCAAACAAATCCCAACAAATTAACTTCGCCGTAACCCTACAACAGCCTGTCCCACCGTATCCTTTAACAATATTTCACTGATCCCTGTCGCACAGGTCCTTTACCTAGGACTCCTTGACAAACGCCTTACCTGGAATCCTAATACTAGACTTAAAAGACAAGATACTACCAACAGATTCCGACTACTACAACACTTACTTGACAAACTCTTCAAACTTCTAATATTCTATAAAAAAACTCATTTACAATACCATCATCAAGCCCATTTGGACATATGGTATTGAGCTTTGGGGCTCTTCAAAAACATCAAATTCTTCCCTTATCCAATCCTTACAATCCAAAATCCTCCGTAAAATCCTAAATGCTCCTTATTACGTAACAAATAAAATTATCCATAAAGACCTCAACATTCCTCTTGTAAAAGACTTGGCCTGAACTAGATATACCTCTTTTCATTCCAAACTCTTTGGTCACCCCAATCCTCTAGTAGGTAACCTTTCATTCAATACAATTGCTGACAACCCTCCGAGGCGTCTGAAAAGAAGATGGCCAAGCGACCATCTAAATTAATTTATCTTTGAAGTGTTACCAATGCGTAGCTTCTTCACAAGTTCCTTCATTTTATATATTCCTATAGCAGATTTACTGGTTGTTTACAGTTATAAAATAATAAATAATCTCGAGGAACTTAAATACCGAATTTTCGAATTTACCAATTGAACTTCAAAGTTTTCTTCTTTTTTTTTTTTTTTTTTTTTTTTTAGATATAACTAATGATCTCTGGTTTTTAATAGTATTGCAAAATAAATAATGACGAACTATTAAAACATTTAATAATAAACTAAAGGAGAAAATGGAAGAAATATGGAAGGTTGAAGACAGGACTTAAGATTAGTATATGTACATGTATAAAGTATTTGTACTAAATACCATCAGAAGGCAAATAATTTTAGAAAATAAATAAAAACGTAAAAGTGGAGATTCAAGAAAATTTTATGAATTTTAATTGATATAGTTCATAATGTCTATTTTCATATTGCATTATTGATTGAGAAATAAACATTGCTTGATGAAATTTTCATAGAAAATATATGGAAAACTAAACTTATTACTTTTCTACCTATACTAAGTAAGGAAAGTATTCCGATCGGGTATAATTTCTGATATACGGTTTTCGACATATCTATACGTTTCAGAGCCCCCTAAGTCCGAAAAATAACACCGTTTAGCCAGTTTTTAACACCGTTACAGCTATTCAATTTCCAATTTAAGATTACGGGTTCACATTCTGATGTCAGAAAGGGATGTATGAGAGAAAAAAGATAACTATATAAAAGTAAAAAATCTGTTGCCTACATCACACAAGCTTCACTATTGCCTCTAATTTTAACAGAAATTATTGTTTGACAAAATTAAGCTATAGCAAAAAGTTTTTGATCAGCAATATTAGAGGGTATTGAAATTTTTACACTGATGTACCTTAAGCCGGTATACATTGCTTTAGTTTATCAAATAAATCATACTAAAATCTTTTCCTGTTCAATTTTCAGGAAAATAAATCTAATTCTTTTTTTTTTTTTTTTTTTTTTTTTTTTTTTTTTTTTTTTTTTTTTTTTCTTCATGAACATATGTAAAGATCTGAAAACTTTTCTGAAATAATTGGTCGTGTGAGTGGACACAACAGGTTTTTTTTCAGTTTGATTAATAAAAAAAAACATATATTTCACAAAAAGGTCATAATGTATAATTTTCTTTACTTTGTATTTATAATTAAAGTAAAAATATTAAGGTATATTAATATTTAAAAAAAAAAATTGTCTGAAAATAGTTGTATAATCCATTGCACTTTTTTTTTTGTGTGTTATTATTCTAGGCATGATTATGGGAGCTATGGATTCACAAAATATTCTTGATGGTTTTAGATTTACTGATAGAATCTCATGATCCTCAGAAAACAATTATATATACATAATAATCTAAATAAATCGATTACTATTTAAAAGAAGTACGATTTATTTATCTTCCATGTACAAACATAATAATAATTTTCATTTAGATTTTTTTAAATTAATTTTTTTTTTAATCATTTTAAAATTAGAGAGTGTCTGAAACCATTGAAGTTCCCCTGGCTAGATGACTAAATACAAGACGAAAGCAATAGCTACTGTAGAAAAAAAAAAAAGCAAAAACAAAGCGTTAATTTTCTATTAAATATCTTACCCTTAATATATTTTATAAACAAAAACTTCTGAAATTGTAATTGTTTTATTAACACTAATGAGTACCTAGATATTTGTTTTGTTTTTTCACACAAATCTTTAAAAATGCACTATAACATCCTAAACAGAGCTCATATTTATTTTAATATACAGTGGGCTTCTCTGATCAGGTAATCCGTATTTTGATATTTTATGCATGGGTCGTTCAATTACTTCTTACAGAGTATTGAAGGACAAGATCAGAGCGTGGTACTCCAAAGAATTCAGGATAACAAGAATTTTTTTAATTAAACAGCTGATATCTTATCTATACGGCAGGTAGTCGATTTCGTTGTGATACGTCCCATGCAAATGGTAACCATATTGACCACTATTTTTCTTTGTAAAAATTCCAGTACTGTAAATCTTAGGTTCGTAGAATACATCATGAGGAGGGAAATGTTCATCTCTCTGTAGATGTGGTATGAGTTCTGGATGGTTCGCTCCGATTTTAGACTTCAATATATCATGTTCAAGTTCGAAAGCTTTTCGAGGGCTATCCTCTTTGTCGTATTCGGGGTCGAAGACGGCTTCGGCGAGGTGGAACGATTCCGGGTATATGTGATATCCTCGGCTCTTAAGTACGTCGTAACCATACCCCCGATGCCAAACAGGAGAACCTCCGACCAGACCCAGAAGTCCGACGAACACGACACTCCTGCAATCCATTCTGTTAACTGATTGGAAATGCCTCCTCTAACTCTTATATATTTTACCCCACCCTGGAACCCCAGTCATGTTCAATAGCCCGGCAAACCACAAAGAAACCTGAATTCAACGGGCCCTGACAGCCAACTCTGCAATTAGAAATGCATACAGAGCAGTCAACGACATCCTGTATACCATATGTTTAGTAAACTAGAAAAAAGTTTTTATGAGAAAAAAATAAAAACAAGAAAAAAGTTGATAAATATGTTCCGCTAAACAATTTTATAAACCACTGAATTCTTTAATAGACGTTGGGATACAATTTCAATACGCTAAAATAAATCGGAAACGTTCATACAAACAGTTGAAGTGTGACGGGGAATAACAATCAATGTCAACTTATTCAATTTTTTTTTTAAACTTTTAGATTGAGCCGTCAGATCTAAGATCTGTAACGCTCGGGTAAAACCGGATAGAAATGGCTAAGTGAAGTGTTTTTGCATATGGATTAAAATATCTCAAAAATTAAAAATCGAACCTGCATTTTGTTAGCGAGAGAAATATTCATCATTTCATCCTATTTGTATGAGCTATTATTCAAAATTGTGTCTTAACGCTAAGCCATGTTAGAGAGACGAAAAGGAAAAAAAAAAATGTCGAAAACCGAATGATAACGAATTTTATTGAAGATATGGATTAAAATATCTCAGAAACTAAAAATCGGATCTGCATACTGTAAACCTGAGAAATTTGTTCACCATTACATCATCTTTCTAATGAGCTGTTATATGTAATTTATATTTCGTATTGATTTTAGATACGTATTTCGTATCTTCTTGTTGATTTTTTCACTTCTATTGCGTGGTCTAAAGCATACACCTTAGTTTTTTTTTTAATTTTGTCAAAATAGCAAGAGTTCGAATGAGAAAAAAAGAAAAGGGAAAAGTTAAAATTAAAATTAATTTGTATTTTTCCGTAACCCTTCAGTTATTAAATATAATGTTCAATTAATACAAGAAAGACAAGTTTTCCATTTTTTTTTTTTTTTAATTTCGCCAATATTTCAAGGGTTACAATAAGAAAATTTTTGCATATCGCTACTGTTAGTACAAAAGATCGTATATAACAATTTTACATGTTCATTCTCTTTACGCTAAAAGTGACATTTTTAGTCTGAAACTGATATAAGTATTCTGCTGATATGGAAAATAGCAGAGGGAAATAAAATATGAAATTATACCAATATATCATAAAGAAATAATAGATTTTTATGATCTTTTGTAAAAAATACTCAATTTTACATTCCACCTTTTGCACTACCTGTAGTATAAACAATCTATATTTCAATTTAAAGTAGAAAAGTCAATTTTTAAATTGATGGTATTTTCTGTAACTCTTCATTTGTTAAATATGAGCTTCAATTTATTTGAGAATGTAAAGTTTTCAATTTTTTTTTTACTTTCTCAATATAGCAAGGATTAGAATGAGAAAAAAATTTAATTTTACGTGTAAGCCATCTATATTTGAATTATAAAAAAATATTGTGTGGAAAAGTCAACATTTTAATTGATCGTAACTATTCAGTAATTGAACATGAGCTACTCCAATTATTATTTGTTTAATCTGAGTGTCACTCATCTATATTAAAGAGTCGAATAGTTGTTATATTTATTTAAATATGTAGTAGGTATTCATAAGTTTCTTTAGTGGTTTAAAAAGATAAGTAGAAAATCAAAAGTAAGATTTTGAAATATTATTTTCCGAACCTGTTTGCAATAGATTTTTCAGTTTATAGTTGATACTAGATGATTTTGACGAATATTTAAACATATTTTTTTTTTAATAATAAAGCGAGTCTAGTTGAATTCTTAAAATCAATTACGAATAAGAAAACGAAAGTAGTATATTTTTACTATATATTACATATATACGTAAGTGTAAGTATTGCGATCGTGAAAATTTTCGAATCAGTTCTCAACGGAAATACATGTTTTGAGGCCCCTTAGTTCAAATAACCAAGTGTCGCAAAATGGTCTCTGTGTGTGTGTGTGTGTGTCTGTGTTGTATGTTAGCAGTCTAGCTCATAAACGAAAAGTAGTACGAATACTAATATTAAGTATTTAAGGTTTTTATATGGGCTGGATGTGACAGCAAATTTTTTGTTAAAATCGGCTAACCGAAAGTGCCACTTTATATGAACGCTGAAACACATTTTTACAATTTTCTCAAAAACGGCTCTAACGATTTTCATCAAACTCGGTGTATCATTGTATAATTAAGTGGTCTTTAATATCCTTTAGGTCTTGTCCCCGTTCATGTCACTTTACAGGGCTTAAATGCCCAATGTTCATATACGTCTTCCTCTAAAGTACGTTTAATATGGTTTATTTTAAAAAGTTAATCATCTCGCATTATTTAGAGTTACGAAAAAATGCTAAATATAACTTTTGAAAGAATTTGATAAGTTAATAAAGGATAAAAAAAAAATAAAAATGCAGAAAAACCTGCGTTGCTATAGACTGTAGCCCCTAAACGAATGTACCGATTTCAATGAAACTTCGCTAAAGTAATTTTCTCGATACCCTTTAAATTTATCTATGTAACATACTTCAACGAAAAGAAGCTGAAAAAAAGTTACGAGGGATGTTAAAATTAAAAAATATTAACTCAAAAAATATACGCTTTTTGGGGGATATTGTATATGGTTTTTTAAAAGTTTATGGAATTTCCTAAAAAAACAATTAAAATCGGACAATTAGGAGGAAAGATATGGTCTCTAGTTTTTTTCCCTAAAGAGGCTTCGGGAAAAAAACTTTAAGCTTTAGCTCCGTTTAAAATGCACTTCATAAAATTTTATAATAGCCCAGCATTGCCAGAAAATAATTTCTATTCAAAGTAGATCGGTAAGTGATAGTTGTGTGTTGCGCGCACCAGATTTTTGTTTTAAAAGTGGTAGGGTGAACGCACCAGACATAAAAGGGTACTCAATGATGGGCAGGTTGGACTTTATTAAATGTAAATAATAAGTTGCCTTGTTGATTTAAAGGTTCCACTTTTTTTCTATATTGGAGAGCAGTGCTCTCTATTGACAACTGTATGACCAAAGTTCCCAAAAGAAAATTTTAAAATGCTTATGATTGTTGTTTCTATAGCGCTCTTGAGATCAGTGTGTTTCATACCTTCCTACAAACAGTTTTACTAAGATTAAGTTGATCATTTATGTTACTGGCTTCCTCACTACCGAAGGTAGGGAAGAATTATATTCGTGGGAGAGGTTAAAAAATAATTTGTGCTCCGAATCGAAAATTTCCACTCTCGTTTTACGTTTCAGACATGAAGGATCAAATTTGATTCGGTGTCTGTAATCAAATCGATGTAACGGGCATATCACCTAATACCGTTTATCTAATTTTCATGAAATTTTCAGGAATTGCGCAGGTTGGTATCTAGATGGTCCCATGTGAATTTTATGAAATTCCAACTAGCACTTTCGCTAACGCACGCGCAAACGCATTTTTGTTGATATGCCAATATTTCAGAAAGGGCTCGTTCGAATTAACTCAAAATTGCATGAAAGGTAGTTAGTTATTTGTGAAACAATAATGTAGAGTCAATTTTATTGAATTCTGTCAGTTGCTTTCTCTTATACATGACCTAACGTGTTTTCCTTGATACGTCTATTTTAGAGATATAGACGTATCAAGGAAAACACATAAATTAAAATGTAATGTCACGCACAATTTAACAAAATTACATCTAAGTTGGGTAAAGTAAACCTATGACCTCATGTCCCACAGTATCCTTTAATAATACCCCACTTATCCCTGTTGAACAAACCCGATACCTTGGACTTCACTTGGACAAACGTCTAACTTGGAAACCTCATACCAGACTGAAACGACAAGAAACCGCTCGACGTTTCCGACTACTCCAACACTTACTAGACAAACGCTCTAAGCTTCCAGTTAATTACAAAGACTTATATTCATGACTACAATAATACCTATTTGGACTTACGGAGTGGAGCTTTGGGGCTCCACTAAGCCATCGAATTCCTCTCGTATCCAATCCTTACAATCCAAAATCCTTCGGAAAATCCTCAATGCTCCTTACTTTGTCACCAATAAAATAATCCATAATGACCTTAATGTTCCTTATGTTTCCGATTTGGCCCAATCCAGATACCAATCCTTCCATAATAAACTTCTGAACCATCCGAATCCTCTCCTCTCTAACTTGCTTCCTCTTCTATTCCTGATAACCCTTCGAGGCGTCTGAAAAGAAGATGGCCTCGAGATCTCTTATTGTAAATATATTTTGTTTTTAGAGTGCTACCAGTGGGTAGTTTCTCAACAAGTCATTTCATGTTATTATTTTCTGTTATCAAATTTACTTAATGTATTTAATTTTTTAATACAGTTGTAAATATCATGAATAAATAAAAAAAAAAAAAAAAAGTTGGGTAAACAATAGAGGGTGCCCGTTCATGGATAGTGAAAGACACGAAACTGAAATTCTTTCAAATTGAAGTCTAAAATTTTAAACGCGAGTGGAAATTTTCGATTCTAAGAACAAAATAACAACAAACAAAAGCGACAAATAATAACAAACAACTAACAAATAATAACAATAACAAACAATAACAATAACAATAACAAACAAATAACAGCGAACAAAATTTTGATTCTTGGTTCCGAACTAAATATACGATATAATAGGGTTAAAAATTTAAAAACCAGGTTCAGTTTTTTTAAATTTTTTTTAAAAATAAAAAAATAGAAATATTTATTTAATTTGTTTTTTACTGATTCGAATATAATGAAATGAACGACTCATCTCATCACAATGATATTATCTTACAACGAAGGAATTTTTAATTTACTATTCAAGTACGTTTGCTTAATCAAAGACAAGAGAAATACGCTTATATTGAAAACATAAAAGGAAAATAACGATATATTTTTGTTGATGAAGAATAATAAAAACAAAAATAAATATATGTTATAATCGAAGTAAAAATAACAATGACCTAATTGAATTTGTGTCATATAAATTACTTATCTGAT